AAAAAATCCAGATGGTCTGTTTATTTCCCAAAATTTAGTTATTTGGAAAGATCCCAAAATAGTTAGAAATGCTTGGCATACTGTTAAGGTTTTTCTACACTGTGCTTTTGGAATGCGGTAGATACATGGAGTCTTACAGGCTTTTTAAGCCCTGTGAGGAAAAGTTCATGTCTAAATTTTGGTGTAAACCCAGGACTAGCCCTCTGATCCCTATTCAATAAATATTGGATGATTGAATAAGAATTAATGCTGCAAGTTTCCAAAAATGCCACTATCTATCATCAAGCTCCCTAAAGACCACCAAAACACTATTAGAATATGATGGCTCAGTCAATTATGCGTCTGCCTTCAGTTCAGGTCATGATCCCAGGCTCCTGGGATGGAGCCCTTGCATTGGGCTCCTCGCTTAGCAGGGAGACTGCTTCTCCCTGTCACTCTGCCTGCTGCTCTGCCTGCTTATGCTCTCTCTCTGTCAAATAAATAAAATCTTTAAACAAAAACAAGCAAACAAAAAACTATTAGAATAAATGACTAATAGGGGCACCTGGATGGCTTAGTCTGTTAAGCGTCTGACTTTGGCTCTGGTAATGGATTCAGAGTCTTGGGATCAAGCCCCGTGTCTGGCTCTGCACCCAGTGGGGAGTCTGTTTGTCCTTCTGTCTCTGCCCCTCCTCTACTCATGCTCTGTCTGTCTTTCAAATAAATAAATAAAATCCTTTTTAAAAAGATAAGTGACTAATAAATTCCATAAAGTTTCAGGATATACACTTAATATACAGAAAGCTATTGTGTTTTTATAACACTAATAACGAACTATCAGAAATTTAGAAAACAATCCCATTCACAATTACATCAAAAGAATAAAATACCTAGAAATAAATTTAACCAAGGAAGTAATAAGACTTGTACTCCGAAAACTATAACACTTTGATGAAATTGAAGAAGACACAAATAAATGGAAGGATACACCCTGCTCATGGATTGGAAGAATTAATATTGTTAAAATGTTCATATTAGCCAAAGCAATCTACAGATTCAATGCAATCCAATGACATTTTTCACAGAAATAGAACAAATAATCCTAAAATTTGTATGGAACCACAGAAACCCCCAAATAGCCAAAGCAATCTTGAGAAAGAACAAAGGTGGAAACATCACACTCCCTGCTCCCTGATTTCAAACTATACTACAAAGCTGAATGGTACTGTCACAAAACAGACACAAAGGCCAATGGAACAGAACTGAGAACCGAGAAATCAATCCACACAGAATATGATTATTAAACTACAACAGAGGAGGCAATATACAATAGGGGAAAGATCATCTCTTCAATAAACGGTGTTGGGAAATTGTACAATAATATGCAAAAGAATGAAACTGAATCCCTATCTTAACATCGTACAAAAAAATCAACTCAAAATGGATTAAAGACTTGAATGTAAGGCCTGAAGCCATAAAAGTCCTCGAAGAAAACATGAGCGATTAGTTCCCTGACATCAGTCTTACCAATATTTTTGGGGATCTGACTCCGCAGGCAAGGGCAACAAAAGCAAAAAAATAAACAAATGGGACTATATCAAACTAAAAACCTTTTTGCACAGCAGAGCAAGTTCTCAAGAAAACAAAAAGGCAACTTACTGAATGGAAGAAAATATTTGCAAGTCATATATGTGATAAGGGGCTAATTTCTAAAATATATAAAGAATAGCAGGGGCACCTGGGTGGCTTGGTTGGTTGAGCAACTGCCTTCCACTCAGGTTGCGGTCTCAGGGTCCTGGGATTGAGTCCCCCGTGGGGCTCCCTGGTCAGCGGGAAATCTGTTTCTCTCTCTTTCTGCAGCTTCCTCTGCTGCTCCCCCTACTTGTGCTCTCTCTCAAGTAAATAAAATCTTTTTTAAAAAAATAGAAAAAAAAATCTGATTTAAAATTGGTGGGGGGCAGGGCAAAAAAAGTAAAAAATAAAATGGACAGATGGTCTGAGTGGACGTTTTTCCAAAGACATAGTAATGGCCAAGAAACACATAAAAGATGCTCAGTCTCACCTAACCATCACAGAAATGCACATCAAAGCCATAATAAGGTATCACTTCACAGAATGGCTAGTTTAAAAAAAAAAACAAAAAACAAGAAATAATAAGTGTTGGGGCACCTGGGTGGCTCAGTGGGTTAAGCGTCTGACTTTGGCTCAGGTCATGATCTCAGGGTCCTGCGATGGAGCCCTGCATAGGGCTCTCTGCTCAGTGGGAAGTCTACTTGTCCCTCTGCCTCTGCCCTTTCCCCTGATTGTGCTCTTTCTCTCTCAGATAAATAAAATCTTTATAAAAAAAAAAAAAAGAAAAAGAAATAACAAGTGATGACAAGGATGTGGAGAAAAGCAATCACTTGTGCCCTGTTGGTGAGAATGTAAATTGGTGCAGCCACCATGGAGAACAGTATGGAAGTTACTTAAAAAGTTGAAAAGAACTACCCTATAATCCAGCAATTCCACTCTGGGTTTTTATTCCAAGAAAACCAAACACCCCCATGTTCACTGTAGCATTATTTACAAGCCAAGATGTGGAACAACCTAAGTATCCATCGATAAATTAGTGAATAAATAAGATGTGGAGGGTGTGTGTGTGTGTGTGTGTGTGTGTGTATAATACATATATACATACAATAGAATATTACTCAGCCATAAAACAGAATGAAATCTTGCCGCTTGCAGCAATAAGGATGGAACTTGAGGGTATTATGCTAAGTCCAGTAAGTAAAAAAAAAAGACAAATACCCTATGATTTAACTTACATATGGAGTCTGAAAAACAAAACAAACAAAATGGGACATATAGATACAGAGAACAGACTGGTGGTTGCCAGAAAAGAGGAGGGTAAGAGGGTGGGCAACATGTATGAAGGGAATCAAGAGGTTTAAACTCCCAATTATAAAATAAATAAGTAATGGGGACATATTTTATAACATGAGGATTATGGTCAACATTGTATTAACTTTGGTGACACATGATAACTAGACTGGTGATCATTTTGCAGTATATATAAATGAGTCACTATGTTGTATACCTGAAACCAATATGATAATATATTTCAGTCATAATACTTCAATTTAAAAGATAAGGTGAGCTTTCTCAGAAATGAAAACATGTTCACGAAGAGATCTGCACAAGAACAGCCCTATTCTAATAACCCCAAAACTGGGAAACACCCAAATATACATCAACTGGAGAATGGATAAACAAATTGTGATATATTCAGACAATGAAATATTACTCAGTGATTAAAAAAAAAGGATTGGTTTCACATTAGTGAAAAACATTACTAAGCTAAAGAATATAGACACAAAAAAAGCACATACTATTTGATTACACTTATGTGAAATCCAAGAACAGCCAAAACTATGGTGACAGAATTCAGGATGTTGCAGGGGGTGGGTGGTGGTAGGTGCAGGGTAGTTAACAATACATATAAAGGGGCAGAGGGAATTTTCTGGAGTAACGACTCATTATCTTGTTTTCAGTGTTACATAGCTGTATATTATTGTTGAAATTCACCAATTAGAACACCTGAGATCTGTGCACTTTATTGTATGTTAAGGATAAATCAATAAATTTGTTTTAAACCAAAGGTGAGAGAGCTGGTGGGAATAACCATCATGACATCTTTTAGGCTCCAGTAATAACTGACCTCAGACACTCACTTCTTTGCTCAAGAACACAAAATAACTTTTTATCACTTATCCTGTCAAATCCGTACCCTCATTCTGATCTCCCTAGAAAATCTCCTCCACTAACTTCCACTTCTCACCCAGCCAAGGTGATCTGCTCACTGTCCCAGGCAGCTAATTTGCTCTTTCCTACCTGAGTCTCCTTGTGTCCTTACTGTGCCTGAATCTATTCAAGTTCTCTCTGCCCTTCAAATCCCATTCTAAATTAGGGAGCCTCCTTCAGAGAGAACTCTTGGCTAATCCTAGCCAATTTGAGCACCCCAAGATCCTTCAGCTTTTATGTTCCTTTATTGGACTAATATGATGCGTTAATACATTCTGTGTACACCCACAACAGAAGCTATTTTAATAAAAATGGGCAGAGACGGTGGCTAGGGCTCCCTTTGTATTTCTCTAATAACCCCATCAGAACCTGCATTAACGGGCTGGTCACCACCATGAAAATTGTGAAGACCATACGGTATCGAGACAAGGACAAATAGATATTTAATCAAGGACCAATGAGAATGGTACTGAAAGGAGCTCTGAGGCCCTGCCGGGGTCTCAGTGGGCTGTTTACTTTTTTTTCTTTTAAGCACGCGGTTAGTTCAACAGGGCAGGTACCCGTCCCCACCAAGATAGCAGCAAGTCGCTGAGAACAAGGTTTTATCTTTCTTCTGCTCAGCCTTACCTCCTCCTGTGAGGAAACGACCAGCCCTACTCTGAAAGCAACGGAGCCTGTTCCCAGCGCCCAGTTTCCCGTATTATTGGGAGGACCTAATCCCAATCCGGAGGAGGAAAAGTGAGGAGGGAGCACTGAGGGCCAAGGAGGCATTCAAGCGTCTTCCCATAGATTTACACCCAACACGTAAGCAGGAAGGCAAATTACAAACACCAACGCTCACAACCACATATACACGTGCACGCCCAGCCCCACGGAAGCAGACGCGCATGCCCGTGGCTCCGCGAGCACCTACTTAGTTTTCTCTGCTATAGATGCCCCCCATTCCACCCCTGCTCGGCCCAGCGCTGCTTCTCCAACCCCCGCACCCAGGAGGTTTACCAACCCGGACCCGACCCGGCCCGAGGAGAGCGTTTCAGTATAGGGGGAGGGGAGGTCCTTCCCACTGGGGAGGAAGCGGCGCTCTCCCGACCTGCGGACTTAGCTCTCGTCCTGGGAACATCTGGCGGGGGGCAGGGAGGGGCGCGCATCCAAGGCGAACGTGGATTGGCTGCACGGAAGGAGGGAGGCGGGGTCCGGGCGAGGGGCGGGGCTCACTGGCCCCTTTAAAGCCTTGACATCAAGAGGCGGCCCCAGCACCCCCCTTCTTCTGCCCCCCGCCCCCGAGCCGCGGCCATGGACCCGGCAGATCCGGCCTGCCCCGGCCCAGCTCAACACCTGATTTCGGTGAGTTCCAGGCCTACTTGGGATTTAAAGGGCGGAGAGTGGAGGGGCTGTAAGCTGTGGGCTGGGGGTGGGCGGTTTGAAGGGTAAAGCTCTTGTGGCAGGCTTGGGTCGGAGGGGGCAGCGCGCCTTCCTGCCCGGACCTTGCTGCCTGTCCTTCCCTCCCGCCTCGCTGTCCCCGGCGGGGGTGGGGGGGGTCCGGCTGCGACTCTGTCCACCCCCACCCCACCCCCTCCCGCCCCCCGCGCTCTCCTCGCGCACACTCCATGGCCCCGGAAGGGAAACTTTCGGGACAGGGGGATGTTCCGGGGGCCGGTCTCCCTCCCTCTTTGAAAGCACTGACCTTGCCCCAGCTGCGCACCCCACCCCACCCGCATCCCACTGTCCGGGTGCCGCTTAGCGGTGCTGGGTTGTTGCGCGGTGGGGGGGATCTGGGGGGGGTGCAGGGAGGGAGACTCTCCCCAAAGCGCAGGCGCGGAGACGAGCCCTGGGCTCCTCTTCGCCCTCCTTGCAGTCCCCGTGGCCTGGGGCGGTAGGGCGTGGGGAAGATGGGGAGAGGCGGAGAGATCAGGGTCTCTAGGAACAATCCTTCGGTGGCTTTGAGGGGCTGTGAGAAGGAAGGAGGCGGGGGACCGGCAGACTGAACACTGAAGAGAGGCTGAGGGAGGGAGAATGGTTGGGCAGGGTGTGGGGCCAGGGCAGCGCCTGCAAAAAAGCCTCTCTGGGTCCTGGCTGCGGTGCCAGAAGAATGCAGAGAATTTATCTGTGCCCGACACTCCCCTGGCCTAGGCCGACTAGAAAATCGGCTCACCAAACCCCAGCCCCCTTTTCCTTATTCTGGACTCAAGATCCTAGGTCTCCAGCCCTGGCACTGCCCCAGCGGCGCAGAGGTCCCTCACCTCCCGCAGGCTTGGTTTTCCAGATTCTCAGCGCTATCCACCCAGCCTGCCAGCTGCTATTTAAATGCTCGTCTTTCTGAGGAACCAGAGGTCTTAGACTGATGGGTTCCTGGCTGTAAAGGCAAATCCCTCTTATTCCCTCCCAACCGCTCTCTCCCTCCCCTCGGGTCCTCCTGCCTAAGCACAATTGTCTGCCAGAGATAGTGGCTGGAGGCAGATGCCTAGGACAGGGATGATACTGGGAGATAGTAGAGAGGAAGTCAATGTCTAACCATTCTATGGTCTGTACTTAATGGGGAAAATGAACCCAGCCCAGCTACCTTGTTGCAGACCCTGTCTTGCAAGACCCCTTGTCTTTCAGGAAGGGAGACACAAAATTCACTACTCATATAGGTTCCCTGTCTTTCTAGGAACAGCCTAGTTTAGTGGGTTTCTTGCTTCAGAGAAACATGTGTATTCCTGTCTGGGGAGATAGTTGCACATAGTTCAACTTTGTTTTCAAAGTCTGTGGTCTGTGCATGAGGTGGCTCAGGCCCTCCAGCATCTTTCTTCAGCTTCGGTCTCTGGAACAGAGCGGGAACCTGGAGAGGCAGATGGCCTGGGTTGCAGGGAAGAAGGTTGTTCCACAATACACAGAAACCAATGTGCGTGAGGACCAGGCTCCTGTCCCTGTGGACTGGGAGTCAGAAGCCCTGGTCCCTGCTCTTCCCAGCTTGCTGTGACTTTGGCCCAGACAGTCCACCTCTCTGGGGCTCTTTTCCCTCATCTGTAAAATTCAGCCGTTGTACTGGAAAGCTCTAACATTCCCTTTCACTTTTTGACATTGTGTGGTTCCACTGATAAGTGAATCTGAAAGGGAGAAAGGTCCCCTGGCTGGGTGACTTAGTTTGAGGAGGTAGGTGTTGGCTGATGCAGTTTGAAATCACAGTAACTTAGCACTAGAACCTTGGGTGGAAGGTTGCAGACTCCTTTATTCTGCCTAAGAATAGCCATTGTCTTGCTCACCGCTGGTGGCTTGGGGTATGAACTCTTGCTGCCTGGGGTTTGGCCCACCCATCAAGGTCTCTGCTGAGATATCCTGGCAGGCCAGTCTTTGAGTTGGGCCTTTGGGGAGGAGTTGAGAGAAGGGTAGGCAGCCAAGGGCCAGCCAGGTAAGCAGATTCCCAGGAGACAGTTTGCATCTCAGCTGTTGGGACTTGTTTTAGGATCTGAGCCAGGGAACACTGTACACTCATCCACCCTCTTATGAGAAGAGGATGAGAGCCCCATTGTCGTTGGCCATCTCCCTCCCTGGCCCTACTCACCTCACTTGTGCACTCCCACCCTCCAGTGCCCAGGCAGTGGGCTTAAGGAGTTTTCCCTGCTAGCCTCACCCAGCCCAGCCAGCTTTCGGGGCCTTTCTTCGGCAGCCTGACAGCAGGGAGAAACTGCCCCAGCCCCACCTTTCCCAGCCTCCTTCCCTCCTGGGGCTATGGTTTCTCGGGAGTCAGGCTCTCCAGGTTGGGACTTGCTCTCTAGCCCAGGAGCCAAAGGCCTTCACGTTTTCCTTGTTTGTTTTCATCCTTGATCTCCCAGGTGCCAGGAGGGATGATGTTCCAGGAGCTGGTGGTTAGAGAGGCTGTGGGATTGGTTGGATGTGGGACACACTGTCTGCATTGCTTTTCCCTTTGCTAGCTCTCCCGGGCCTGGGGACCCCTCTTCCCTGGGCCCTGCTGTCCATGGACTGAAGCTGCCACAGAAGGTGTTTAGGTTAGACCCCAAGGAAACCTTCCTCACTGCAAGGAGCCCCTGGAATGGAAAATGGAAGCTCCCAGGGAGGTCAGTTTCCCAGAAAGTGGTTAATGGTGGAGTCCCTGTCAGAGTGAAGGATGCGGCTGTTGCTAGGCAGAGGCTGCTGTTTCCTCTTGGGGTGTGGCTCCAAGGCTGGCCAGCCAGAGGCCCCGTTAGAAGCAGGAGGAGAAAGGACCCTTGCCCCGTAGCTGAAGAGGGGACCCTGGCCCCATCGGCTCTGGGTCACCAGAACTGCATCTCTCAGAACAAACACTACTTCTCACCCTGCTTCTCCCAGCTCCTCCCCCGGTTCACCACCAGCACCACAGCCTGCTTTTGAAAATCATCAGCCGAACCTGGCAGGCTCCTGCAGCCCCAGTCTGGCTGCACTAATGGACTGATTGGATTTTTCTATACTTGGAGTTTGGGATTTCTGATTGAACATGCAAATTTATGTAAATCAATCTGGGATCTGCCACCACATCAAAACAACATTGGAGTCATAGGCTGGAAGGAATCCTAGAGACATCTAGTCCAACGCCCTCGTGTTAAAAATGGGGAAACTAGAGTCCAGAGGGGGAAGTGATTCATACAATGATGAGTGTCAGTGGCGGGGCTCCTGACCCTGGGCTAGTGTGTTGCATGATCCCACTCAGCCTTAATTTCTCAGGCGTGAAGTGCCTGGATGAATTAAAGCAGAAAGGGCAGTTCTGGAACCTGAGATTGTGGAGAGCTGGACCCTTGGAGGGTCAGGTGTCATCTCAGGCCTCAGCCCCCCCTCCACAGGGGCTCTGGTCAGATCTGCCAGGCTGAGGAAAAATAACTTCAGATCCCTTCGAACAACACCCTTGTTTTTCCCCAGGCCCTGCCCTGGAAGGTGGGAGGACAAGGTCATTGGTTGGTGCCTGCCTTGGCCCTTGTGGTTTTCCCAGAGCTGAGACTGGGTCTGTTCCAGCATCTATCACAGTACCAGGGACACAGTAGGCTGGGATGGCTCCGCACAGGCACACGTCTCTGGCTTTCCCCTCCCATCTGAGTGTGAGTCTCTGCTGCTTCCCTCCATGATTATGGTGGGAATAGATCTTAGGCTCCTGTGACTTTTTGCCTCCCCTCCCCTGCTCTTGCTATAAGAAGGATCTCATTATTCTGAGATTGGTGTCAAAGTTGGAAGGGGGCTGCAGAGATGGACTCGGGTCCCTAGGAAGTAGTCTCCCCACATCTTGACATGTCTTTGATCGGATCCACAGACACCCCCACCCGCCGCCAGCTGCAAGACGCCCCCTGTTCGTGCTTCACAGACGGCGGTGCCTGCAGCATGGGCCCATTTGGAGGGCTGAGCCCTCACTTACCCCACGGTGCCCGCAAGCATGGCAGCGACGGTGGAGATGCCCAAAGCAGCTGTTGGCCTCCCTTGCCATACTTTGGCAGGGTGAGCATGTGGGCTCAAGATCAGAGGCCCCAACTCCCAAGTCAAGGCCACCACCCAAGCCCTGCTGCAGCCTAGGGAGGGGGCTTGGGACACATCTGGGGGTCTTCCTCACCTTCCTCACCTTCATCCTAAACCCAGACCCTGCTGACTCTGGAGGGAGAGCCTCCCCCACCCCATCTTCCCAAAACACAGCAAATAGGAAGCCAGCTCCTCCAGTTCCTCACTGCCCAGCGGCCCTCAGCTCCTATAGCCTTAGTTGCGTGTGAGGGGAAGTCTTCCCTGCACCTCAGTTTCCCAGTCTGTGCAGATGGATTAATGACACCTCATCACTGGGGTGTGGCACTTGCTCGGTTTTCCCAGCTCTGGGAGCTACACGGATGAAAGAGGCCCGAGGAGGCCAGGCTGTTATTAAGGTGAATTATCACTGCTGTTATTACTGATTTCTAAAAGTCGAGCAGCCACTGAGGAGAGCCCAGGCAGGCACAGCTCCCTGGACCCTTATGGCGGTCCTTCAGCTCTGGAAGATCTCCAGTACTCACTAGGCTTTTTAAAATATCTCTGTCTCTATCTAGAGAGATATTTTAAAAGGAGTGATGACCCCATTCTGCTTCTCACACTGATGCCCACAAGGCTGGAGCCGTGGTGGGTGCTGCCGGGGTGCTGGTCCATGGTTCTCACTCTCACTCAGGGCTTGAAATGGTCCCTCCCCACTGACCCTCTGGGTAGAAGAATGATGAGGTTTTTCCTCGATGGGACTGTGAGGGGCCCCAGAACTCCTGGGGTGTGGCCCTAGGGTTCTCAGCAGTCATTGTTCCTATGGGCTGATTCATTTCACCCCCGGCTGGCTTGATGTCAGGGCTATAATTGGTCCTTTTGTATGAGGATCTGTTGAGACACCCCCAGAA